ATAAATAAATGTTGAAAAATAAAATAAAATAAAATAAAATTGGGGGGGGGCGCCTGGGTGGTGCAGTCGGTTAAGCGTCCGACTTCAACCAGGTCACGATCTCACGGTCCGTGAGTTCGAGCCCCGCGTCGGGCTCTGGGCTGATGGCTCAGAGCCTGGAGCCTGTTTCCGATTCTGTGTCTCCCTCTCTCTCTGCCCCTCGCCCATTCATGCTCTGTTTCTCTCTGTCCCAAAAATAAATAAACGTTGAAAAAAAAATAAATAAAATAAAATTGGGTTGTCGGTTTTTTGTATAAGTTCTTGATATATTATGGTTATTAATCCTTCGTCAGATATGTGATTTGCAAATATTTTCTCCCATTTCACTAGTTGTCGTGTGCATTAGTGGTATAGTGGTGAGCATAGCTGACTTCCATTTCATTGTCTTTTCACTCTGTCGATAGTATCCTTTGATGCACAAAAGTATTTAATTTTGATGAAGTTCATTTCATCTATTTTTTTCTTTTGCTGCCTGTACTTTTAATGTCATCACCCCTGTGTTTTGCAAATGTGTGCACAAAGTACCACAGGTTGGGCTCCCCATAGAGAAGACTGAGATGGAGGCTGGTATATACGGTATTTTAGGCAGTGCTCCTGGTATCACCACCTGTGGAAGGGAAGGGAAAGGAGCATGGGCAGCAGGAGAAATTGGGCTGTGATGAAGGCTTAAGGAAAGACTCAACTGATCATCACAATGAATTCTGAAGCTGAGAAGAACCTTCAGAGATGTCCTTCATTTGGGTGAAAGGGACAGCCTTTATATTTGACCCGTCATTGGATAGGGGGTACTACCAGAAGGGGCTATGACCAAGAGTAAAGCAGCTCTTTTCAGGCCAGGCAATGCCAAAGAAGGCTGACAGCTGAAAACTGTTGGCCACGTGCTCTCCCTGCATCTGGTCTTCATTATTGGAAGGAAATCTGGGTGACATATCATATCGTCCACTACATTCCCAAAGAAGTCTCCTCTTGCTTGCTTTAGTCTCCTGGTGCTTGTTCTGGTCCCCTCCTGGTGAAGGGGAGCTGGGTGACATATCACCATCCACTACAGTCCCAAAGAGGTCTCCTCTTGCTTGCTTTGATGCTCCTGGCCCACTGGAACTTTACTATAATTTAGGGAAGTATCTAAGGTCATCAGGAATCCCCAGCCTATTGCTGGCCCACTCTCTCCCTTCTCTTCTTCACTCTTCATTTTTCAATCCCTGGTCTCTCTCTTCCCCACCTACAACACAGTAACATTACTGTTGCCCTCCTGTTGGTCATGGCCCAGCATTCTTCCACCTCAAGCCTTTTATTGCTCAAGACATGATGAGCAGGAACGGGAGCAGAATGTGGTTGCTTAAATCCTGGAGTATGGGTGGACGGCATGAGAGAACAGCAGAGAAATGTTGGGATAAAGTACTTATGCACAGAGTATCCCATACCAGGAGCTGAGGTACTGAGGGAGGGGATATTGAATCAAATAAGCAAGTACATGATGAGAACATTAAGAAGAAAAACGATGACAGTTAAATAGTACTTGACGTTAGGGACATAATAAACATTCACCTTAGTTTTAGATGTTGAAAAAATGGCAAAATGAGAAAAAAAATGCAAAGTTAATATTTATGTCTAATCGCTATCCAGCACAATAATTCAGTATATAATAAAATGTGTTCAAACTTAAATGTGTTAATACTTTATTTCTAGTTGTATTTGACTAGAACTGTAAACTCTTACATACAAATATGGGGCTTCATAAATTGTGGTTCACATAGCATGGAGATCTGCTCACAAACCCAAAACACCAGAGGGAATGTTCACTACAGTGCATCCTCTTTTAGATTGAAGAAAAGGGTACTTTTGGATCCTTCCCATGGCTCCTTGGCTCTCACAGATACAGAACCTATTGTACTGAGTTCCTAATCCTAAACTCTAAGATTTGCTTCTCATACAAATTTCCCCTTGGTCATCTTATCTGTGTAGTGTAACTATGTTTTGTGACTTTTCCCTAAAAATAAGTTTTAGAATATTTGAATAATTGGATTTATGAACATTTCAATTCCTAGCCCTTAGGTAACCTACTCCTCTTTGGTTTTAATGAAAGTCCACTACCCAAGGCCTTTATGTCATCTAAAGTCAGGCTTCATTTGGAAGTTCAGTAATCTTTTTTTCTAAGAAGTATTCTTGAAAAAGTATTATATATTTGGAAATGGTTTAGGGCAATCTAGATGGAGAAAAAAAATGTAGATTTTATATTCTTCTCTTCCTTTCCTAGTTGTATGGCTCCAAGATACCAGAATTTCCCCCCACTCTCATCCCACCCCCACTCTCGCCCCAAACTAAATTATCCCTATAAGAGAGGTAAGTAATATATATACTGATTGAAAACATTTCACCTGCACAGAATTTCCATTTGACCTGTTTCATTTTTGAGTGTCATTTCCAATACTTTCTCTGACCCTATTTCTACTGCAGTCTATATCTTCAGACTAAGAAAAAATAACATTTCTCTGAGGAAATTTACTCTGAATAGACCTCCAAATGCAAATTCTCTGGAAAATAACGAGATTATACACTCTTTAAAAACAAGTTTTGATATTTCCTTCATACTAGAGCCTCATTTCTCTTAGGACAGCCATGGGGGAATTGAAGGATTTCTTCACTTGCATTAGTTTTCTGAATCCTCATCACCATGATTATCGCTATTAAGTTTTTAGCCTACATTTTTATGATTCAATCTTGGAAATGGTTTTTAGAGTTTTGTGATCATTTCCTCGTTTCCATTTTTCAGGCTTTTACAATGACATTAGCTATTGTCCTTTTTTTAAACTGCCCAAAAATCAGGATTTAAATTTTAGTATCAAGTAGCTAAACGGAAAATCCCTCTCCTGGGATTCTTAGGAAGGTCACATGAGAAGCCTCCAAGGATACGCTATCTCATCATAGGTTGCAAGCTCAAGATCATAGAACTAGGTCAGAAGCCCAAGATCTGAGCAGGTTCTCCACTCTGCTAACAACTTTATCAGCATAACTCATCAAGGCTTAAGCACTATCATCCTGCCTTTCCGTGGCTTTGCCCCACTGTTGGCTTAGTGTGGCCAAACTACAAATCTCTTTTTAGTCTTCTCTCCTTTTGTCTATCAGTTCTTCACCTTTTCCCAAGTGTTCCAGGCAGTTCCTTTGTCCTTATCATCAGTTTCTAGCAAGTAGTTCTTAGACTCTCCAGGCCAGGATGGAGCACTACAAGTATATCTCTTAGGGATCATTAGCACTTCGTGAGAAACACCCAATCTTCCCCCATTGAGACCCTTCAAAGGTATAGTACTGCTGTGAGATTTTATGTATCTTAATTCCTTCTCCCACCATCATTCCTTTCGTCCCTTCCACCAAGCAGAAGTTATTAGATAGGAATAAATGATGTCATCTTCAACAAAGGAGATAATTCTCAATTACTAACTTCTTTTTTTTTTTTTTAAGTTTATTTATTACTTTGAGAGAGAGAGAGAGAGAGGGCAAGAGAGAAAGTGAGCATGAATGGGGAGGAGCTGAGAGAGAAGGAGAGAGAGAATCCCAAGCAGGCTCTGTACTGTCAGGCAGAGTCCAATGTGGGTCTCAATCCCATGAAGCAGGAGATCATGACCTGAGCTGAAATCAAGAGTCAGAAGCCTAACCGACTAAGCCACCCAACCCCCCCCTTCCCAATTATTAACTTCTAACTTAATCTATGACTGGGTTATAGTGTTATCTGAAAATAGAAGATTCTTTATTCTTTTGAAGTTCTTATTATCCCCACAATGTCTAAAATGTTGGGAGTTGGTAGAATGAAAGTTAGCAAAGAATAATCTCTCTTCTATCAGATGTAGCAAAGCTGATTCTCAATTCAAAGAGCAGGACTGGTTTTGCTATTAAGACTAATAGTAACCCATTTGTTGCTTGGCTCTTAAAGCACAAGAGGTGGACTTAAAAAAATTGTTTTTAATGGTTTGCTTTTCAGATCGTAATTGTCATACACAAATAATGCATGGCTAAGCAGAATCAAACCTGGGGTGTGTGCAGGGTCAGTTCCAGAAACAAAAGACAGGTTTCTACAATCTAAGGGAGAGGTTCAGGAGACAGCCAAGGGCAATACTTACTGTTCCCTAGGCATGGCATAGAACTAAGAGCATAGTACTAAAAGCTGACAGTGAGAGATGAATAATGGCCATTGGGAAAAAGGGCAAGCTATTAGGCAATAGGCAGTTGGAAAACAGAGATTAAAAGTTAGAAAATAGAACCAAAGCCATTCAATTAATTCTGTCATTCTGTATCTTCCCTGGTTGGGACTGCTTTTGCCTGGGTGGCCAGTCCTGCATTGGCTCTTGGGCCTCAGCTTCTTAAAGGTACTACCTGGCACCTGGCATCACTATCATCATCAAATCAGTGCTTATTTTCCCAGGATGCAGAGCAAGTGTTGATTTGCCAGATCCCCTGAGAACTAAACTCTTAGTCGGATATGATAGCATCTTTTCTTCTCAGAAGGTTTTTGAGAAGGTTTTCCGAAGTTGACACCTTTACTGACTTCCTGCAGCTTATTTTATAAACATCTGTGGCATATGTGCTATTAAAATTTGTGCACAAAGGTACTGTATCCTTACAAGCATCAGAAGAGTATGGAAAGAAGCTATTGTAGTTACTTACCACAACCAGTTGTTTGCTCTCAGGTGGTGGGAGATAAAAAAGAATGCTTGGAAGACAGGAAAAGAGAGACACAGAAAATTTCCTTTTGCAATACTCAGCCTTTTCCAGAGAAAATATGTAACCTGTAGTGGGCATTGTTTCCACATCTTATTACAATATTGAAAAGGACAAGAAGTCCCAAAAGAACTTGTAGATCTCATTAGTGTTAGCAATTCAGCCGTGCCCATCAATGGAATTTAAAGAGAGCTATACTGGGAACTTCATGAACCCGATAAAGGTCATCTACAAAAAACTCCGATACATACATGATGGTGAAAGACTGGATACTTTCGCCCTCGGATTAGGACAAAGAAAAGGATATCCACTCTTGCTACTTCTGTTCAACACTGTGCTGGAGAACCTAGACAAGGCAATTAGGCAGGGGAAAAAAAAAAAAACAGAAGTCATAATATTGGAAAGAAAAAAGTAAAACTACCTCTATTTGTAGATGACATGATCATGTATATAGAAAATCCTAAGGACTCTATTAAAAACAATATTAGAACTAATAAACAATATTAAAAGTTGCAGGATACAAGATCAATATACAAATCTCAATATATTTCAGCATACTAGCAATTAACAATGTGAAACTAAGAAAACAATTTCACTTAAAGTAGCATCTAAAAGAATAAAATAGGAATAAGTTTAACAAAATAAGTGTAACATTTGTACACTGAAAACTCTAAAACAATACTGAAAGAAATAAAGGCCTAACTAAATGGGAAGACACTCAGGTTCATACATTGGAAGACTTAATATTGTTAAAATGGTGATACTCTGCAAATTGGTCTGCATATTCAATATAATACATATTAGAATTCTGGCTGGCTCTTTTTGCAGAAATTGCCTGACACTTCCCTATTTCAAAATTTACTACAAAGCTTCAGCAAACGAGACAATGTAGTAGTGGCATACAGGTAAACATATAGATCAATGAAGTAGAATTGAAAGTCCAGAAATAAACCCTCATATATATGACCATTGATTTTCTACAAGGAAGCCAGCCAGACAATTCAAGGGGACAACTAGGTATCTACATGCAAAAGAATGAAGTTGGATGTTGACCTTTCACCGTTTAGAATGATACCTCAAAATGAATCAAAAGAATTACAAAAGTCTTAGAAGAAAACATAGGAATAAATTTTTGTGACCTTGACTTAGGTTTCTCAGATATGACACCAAAAGCACAAGCAACAACAAGAGAAGATAAATTGGACATCATCAAAATTAAAAACTTTTGTGCTGCACTTTAAGAAAATAAAAAGACAACCCATAGAATGGCACAAAATACTTGAAAATCAAACATCTGATAAGGGACTTGTACCAGAATATATAAAGAATTCTTAAAATTCAACAATAAAAAGGGAAATAACCCAATTAAAAATAGGCAACAGATTGGAATAGATATTCCTTCAAAGTAGATATACAAATGAGCAACAATCACATGGAAGAAATGCTCAACGTCATTAGTCATTAGGGAAATGCAAATCAAAACCATAATGAGATACTGCTTCACACCTACTAGGATGGCCATCATAAACAAATTGGACGATAACAAGTGTTGGCAAGTATAAGGAGAAATTTGAACCTTTATCCTTTGTTGGTGGGAATGTAAGATGACACAGTCAATTTGAAAGACAGTTTCTGTTCCTCAAAAAGTTAAATACAGAGCTACCATTGACCTAGCAATTCTAGTTCTAGGTATACGTCCAAGAGAACTGAAAACATATGTCCACACAAAAACTTGTACACTAAGATTCGTAACAGCATTATTCATAGCAGGTAAAAAGTGGCAACAACTCAAATGTCCATCAGCTGATGAATAAGTAAACAAAATGCAGTATTCATACGATGAAATATTATTTGGCCATAAAAAGGAATAAACATGGATGAAACTTGAAACATCATTCTGAATGAAAGAAGGCAGAAACTAAAGGCCACATATTGTATGATTTCTTTTTTATAAAATGTCCAGAATCCACAGAGACACACAGAAAGTAGATTGGTAGTTGCCAGGGTTTGGGGGAGGGGATTGGGGAGTAATTGCTAATGGATTCAGGGTTTCTTTTTGGGGTGATGAAAATGTTGTGGAATCTGTGCTGATCATGGGGCAACTTTGTGAATACACCAAAAACACTGAATTGCACACTTGAAAGGGTAGATTTTTTGGCATGTGAATTACATCTCATTAAACCTGTTGTGAAAGAAAAAAAGAAAGAAAAAAAGAAAGAAAGAAAAAGAAGGAGGGAGGAAAGGAAGGAAGGAAGGAAGAAAAAGTGAGCCGTACATAAAGTAATCTGTGATGGTCTATTTAGGTCACCATCAGCCCTAACAACTTCAATGCTGTCAAGTATTTGCATTTGTTAGCTTGTGTTTAGTTGTGCCTGCCTTCCTTCCTTCTTTTTTTCCTTTTCTTTTCTTTTTACATTTTGAGGCTTCAATCCAAGTCATCCAGCCAAATGTATTCTCAGACATGTGTTTGTAACATATCTGAGTCCATGGCCAAGTAATCCAGACTTAGGGAGAAAAGTATGACCAAATTCATTCATTCATTCATTTATTTTTTAAAGAGTGAGAGAGCATGAGTGGGGGAGGGGCAGAGAGAGAAGGAGAGAGAGAATCCCAAGAAAGCTCCATGCTCAGTGTGGAGCCCAATATGGAACTCAATCTGATGACCCTGGGATCATGACCTGAGCCCAAATCAAGGGTCAGATACTCAACTGACTGAGCCACCCAAGAGCCCCTGACCAAATTCATTTTAGTCACAGATTGACAGGGGGGCTCTAGAGACCGAAATGTTTCTTTTCCAAATATGGTGATATAGAATTATTAAATTAATGATAGGTTCCTTTTAGTGCCAGGTTAATATCTGAAAATAACAATCAATTTAAAAGTTAGAATGAATAACAAATGGAATGAAACACACATTCAAATGTACCCTGAGGAATGCCCTTTTATATTATCATATTAAGAGTATATTAAAAAAGAGCTGTACTTGTGGGTGTATAATGATTTTAGGTAGTTATGCAGCACCCTTCTTTTCAAGTGCTCAGAATGCTTTATAGCGTTTACTTCGACAATTGTCACAACACCCTTGTGGGTGGCAAGTGCTGTGCTAACCAGTGCAATACAACTGCAGGTCAGATAGCCAAAGGACACAGAGTTATCGCATGAGGTCTAGAGTACAAGTAGGCATGAAATCCAGGAGGTGGGTGCATCTAATAATGCCTCTTGTACATCTGACCAAAGTGGTATCTCCTTGGACTGATAACCTTTCTAACCAATGATGGCTTTGAATTCCCATTACTCTGGATATTCCAAATGTGTCAGTCATATCCTAAACAGATGGTCACTATCACACAATATGACTGTTTTTTTGTGGGGTTTTTTTTTTTTGTTTTCCTTTCTTTTCTTTTCTTTTTTTTTTACTTTCTTTTTTAAATTTACATCCAAGTTAGTTAGCATATAGTGCAACAATGATTTCAGAAGTAGATTCCTTAATGCCCCTTACCCATTTAGCCCAACTCCCCTCCCAAACCCCTCAAGCAACCCTGTTTGTTCTCTATAATTAAGAGTCTCTTATGTTTTGTCTCCCTCCCTGTTTTTATATTATTTTTGCTTCCCTTCCCTTATGTTCATCGGCTTTGTATCTTAAATTCCTCATATGAGTGATGTTGTATGTTTGTCTTTCTCTAATTTCGCTTAGCATAGTTTCATCCACATAGTTGCAAATGGCAAGATTTCATTCTTTTTGATTGCTGAGTAATACTCCATTGTGTATACATACCACATCTTCTTTATCCATTCATCCATCAATGGACATCTGGGCTCTTTCCATACTTTGGCTATTGTCGATACCACTGCTATAAACATCAGGTGCATGTGCCCCTTCAAAACAGCACACCTGTACCCTTGGTTAAATACCTAGTAGTGCAATTGCTGGGTTGAAGGTAGTTCTTTTTTTTTTTTTTATTTTTTAATATTTACATCCAAATTAGTTAGCATATGGTACAACAATGATTTCAGGATTAGATTCCTTAGTGCCCCTTACCCATTTAGCCCATTCCCCCTCCCACAATCCCTCCAATAACCCTCTGTTTGTTCTCCATATTTAAGAGTCTCTTATGTTTTGTCCCCTCCCTGTTTTTATATATTATTTTTGCTTCCCTTCCCTTATGTTCATCTGTTTTGTATCTTAAAGTCCTCAAATGAGTGAAGTCACAATATGAGTATTTTTGATGTTAATAAGAATCACATGGCTAACACTTCCTTAAAAAAAAACTGGACTAGATATTGAAAAATGGACCTCAGGGTTTTCTGGGTTTTTTTTGG